AATCCTACTTCCGTAGTGATACTGCCTCGGAAACCCAAGGAGGGGTCGCTACGAGTCAGGGCTGACTCGACGGCACATAACAACAACAACAACAGTGGTTCAGTGGTAGAATTTTCACCTTTCATGTAGGAGACCTAGGTCTGACTCCCAGCCACCTCACCTCACACAGCCACCACCCGTCTGTCAATGGAAGCTTGCATGTTGGTATGAAGCTGGACAGGTTGCAGCAGAGCTTCCGGGCTAAGATGGAAATGAGTCAGTGAAAACCAAAGTCACAATGGTCTGACCTACAACCGATCATGGGGTGGCTCTCTACAGGACAGTGTTTTCTTCCATTGTGCATGAGGTTGTCACGAATTGAGGACCAACTCAACAGTACCTAACAAGAAGGACTAAGTATTCTATATGCATGAGTTCACCTGAGTCTCACAACAACACTCTGACATGCATAAAATGATTATTTCCATTTGACAAATGAAAATGGGTCTTAAAACAGAAGCAGAGAGGGCCCTCCAGATGGGCTGGGAACTGATCCCAAAATGTGAGACCTTGGTATGATTCTTACCGGGAAATGAAGCAAAATGCTTTCATTTTTACATGCAATTCAGGGCTGCTTACTAGCAATCCCATAATTGTGTTATTAAGGGTAACTACAATTTGATTTTCATAAACTAAAATTAGCTCATTGCTGGAGTTTATCGAGCACTCTAATTCAATATTCCCCCAGGAGGTAGGCAGCTTGGCAAGGCTGAGTTGGTTACACTGGCCCAGACTGTGTGCAGAGAGCTGGAAGACCCACAATTATCAGTAGCTCTCCATTCTCAGGTGTCATCGCCTTTGTCTTGAGTTGGTAATCAATGTCTATTACTGTTTTCTTACTCTTTAACCACTATTTACTTAATTTGTATGGGCTCTCTGGTTGCTCTATAGTGAGTGGTGAGGCATATTGACATATTTTAGCTTGTTATTTTCTAAGACCTAGAATGAAGGGATGTGTCTATCATATTAGGCTAAACCGTAGGAAATTGTCTATATTCAACCATCATGACCTAAGGTTAAACCATATGAAATTGACTGTATTCAACCATTTTTTGACCTACAAAAATGGCAATTTTGTATGGTTCAATCTAATAGTTCAAATATAAATTATTCATACCTTGTTTTCTAGACAGTTGTGTGCATAATTCCCTCCAGATATGCTTGTGCACTGATCATGCTCTGGCTATGAATGTGTGCTATCTAAGAAATTTGCAACATAGAAGGCAACTTAAGAAGATTGCTAAGTTATTTTAAGCTTACATATATTTTTCTATGATTCAAAATCTTGATTGTAAGTTCATATTCCTTCTTTCTAAAATATTCATTTATGTTTTTCTCTAATTCTTTATCATCTGATTACTTTTCTACCATGAAGTGGAATGTGTGGGATATGTTTTGAACAGTGGGGTCTGTTGTGCCATCTAAACATACCATGGTTAAAGAAGCTTGAAAAGCACTATTTTAAAGGTTAAGGAGGTCTTTCAAGTCCCACATCTGCTAAGTGTGGATTCAGGATTCAGATCCAGGTCTGCTTGATTCTCATGTGGGGCATACATTTTGGTGAATGGCATCAGTTATAACCCAAACATGAAACCTCAGGATTCCTTGTCATCTCTAAAAGGAAATTAGAGTATAACATTTATTGAATGCCTACTTATGTCAGGCCTCCTGGGTGGCACAAACAGTTAAGTGTCAACTATCAGGTGAAAAGTCTACTACCAAGGATCAGGGGAAAAGCACCTCAGAAGATAACCATGGAAATCTGCTTCCAAAAGGTCACATAGTCTTGAAAACTGTATGGAGCAATTCTACTCTGCACACATGGGGTCACCATGAGTTGGAATCAATCTGACAGCAACAACAACAACAACTGTATGCTGGCCACTGTGATTGGTGTGTTAGGTCAAACCTCATTTAATGTTCACATTAAAATCTATGAGGTTGGTATCATCAATCCACATTGATTGGTTCATAAGACTTGGATATTAGTTCAATATTCCAGAACCAGTAGGAAGGTAATGAAAACAGATAGTAGACGCCTAAACCCATTTGATCATTCATTGCACTGCCTTTTCATTTCTTTCCCCTTCCTTCATATTCAATTTCTCATCTTATCTTATTGAATCTAGCTGTTAAATGACTCTGGAATCTGTCTTCCCTTTTTCGTCTTCACTTCCAGTACTCAGCCACCAACTCTCATGGGGACAAATGCAGCAGCCTTCTCCTATCTCCCCATGTTTAGTCCTGTCCTATCTTCTCTATCTGGCCTTCAACTCAGTCCCAGCAGCACCATCCTGTACACAGATTGAATCTTCAATGTCCCCACAGTACATATAGAATATAATAATCCAGCTTTCCTGCCACCTACATGCAACGATGGGTGTCTCCTTGTCCAGAGCAAAGAAGAATGAAGAAAACCAAAATTCATGGAAACAATTAGTCCTAGTGACTGGTACACCATCTGATCTGCAGCCTATACGACTACGAGACCAGAAGAACTAGATGGTGCTCAGTTACCACTGTCATTCACTTGGCAGGGGATCTATGTAGGAGATCCTTGATAGAGAGGGAGAACAATGTGGAACAAAACTCAAAATCATTTGGAGGAAAAACAAGGGGGGGGGGCAGGTTTGCTGGTCCAATAGAGCCTGGTGGAACCACTAAGACTATGGCCCCTAGCTGCCTTTCAGGTCTGGAATTGAACCCACACCTGTGGTTTCCAGCCAAACAAAAGACAGGCATATGAGTTGAACATTTACCTCAGGTGGATGCACTCCTTGGAGAGAACAATCATGGGAGAAAAAGGGCTGCTTATGCACAGGGAGACTCAGGGGGCGGGAAGCATGGAAGGATGGACACTGAGAAGAGGTAACTATGGGGAGGAAGGGGGAAGGGAGCTGTTGCATTGTGGTAAACTGTGGTCAATGTCGTGGGACAGGGTGTATGTGGACTGCTGTATGGAAAGTGAATTTGCTCTGTAAATCTTCATCCAAATTGCAATTTTTAAAAAAAGTAAATAAAAAAAATGTTAAGCAGTATAACATGTAGTAGCTTCTTATTGTGGTTTTAATTTGTATTTCACTGATGACTAATAAAGTTAAGTATTATTTCTTTAAATAAATAAATAATCCAGCTTTCCCACCCACTGTTCTGGCCATCTCTGCCAACGCTCCCTACTTTCATCCCTCCACTGCTCCCCACACCTCCAACCTACACCCTGTTCCCATGACCTTTCCAATTCCAACTCCTGGGTCTTTGTGCGCTTGCTACTCAGTGAACCTAGAGGCATTAAAAAAAAAAATCTCCACTTCTCCACCTGGAAATTTTTTCTTCTTCCTTCAAGACAAGATTCAGATGTGGCTGCCTCTGGGAAAGTCATCCAGGCTCTCCTGGGCAGTTTATGGCTCCTCCTGTTTATATCCACAGGACTTTGTACACTTTTTTCATTGAACAGTTTCTATAGAATAACAGCTAGTTGTTGAAATGTCTAACTATCTTTGCCACTTGATAATGAGCCCCTGGGGGATAAAGATCATGTCATATTAATCTTTGGATTTCCTGCATTCATAAGCATGCCTGGCACAACTTTAGTACTCAATAAATGCTTATTAAATGTACAAATGCTTCCATATTCTTATGTGCACATAAGAGCATACAGAGAAGTGGTACAGCACAATAGATTGAAAGCTAAACTGGGAGTAGTTGTTGTTGTTGTTGTTTTGTGCTGTCGAGTCGGCCCCGACTCATAGCGACCCCTCCTTGGGTTTCTGAGGCAGTATCACTACGGAAGTAGGATTGCCCAACCGTCCTTCCGAGGAGTGGCTGGTGGGTTTGAACCGCCAGCCGTCTGGTTATCAGTAAGGATGCCTGAATTCTAGACCAGGTTTTACTGCCAACTGGCTATGCCAACAGGCTCTCAATCTCTTTAAGTGTAAAGGGAGAGGGGCATCTGAGTGCCCTTCCAGGGTTCACATCTGATGATGCGAAGGATTTGATGCCTCACACCTAATACATATCCCTTTTCCTCAACAGAAGGAGAACACCTCAGACTTCCTCTAAAGAGAGTCATGGCTCGTAACCAGGAGCCTCTAGCTGAGATCTCAGTCATAAAGTTCAAGGACCAGGACTTTAAATATTTGCGGGATCATTGCCTGAGGAAGGGCCAGCTGTTTGAGGATGAGACCTTTCCTGCCGTGGCTTCCTCCATAGGACTGCAGTTGCTCCAGGGAAAAGGCCTTCCCAGCCCAGAGTGGAAGCGCCCATGGGTGAGTGAGCTCCTAGGAGTATTCCCTGCTCCTTTGCCCTCTGAGTGCTATAGTACCTCCCAAAAAGGGAAGACGAGCCAAGACCAGATGTTCAGGAATGGCCCAAACCAAAAGGGAAGGAGTGTGTTCGTCTGCCACAGTTCTCTGCAGTAGTGCTGTATCCACTCAGTAGGATGGAAAGACCTTGTAACATGAACCAGGAGCCCTGGGTTCTCTTCCTGATTCTAATAGTGAGCAAGTCACTAAAAGTCACTAGATTAAATGTCTAGGTTTTCTCATCTGTAAAATGGGAAACCATAAAGGGGGGATTATAGTAGTTGGTCTCCAGGGTAATTTCTACTTCCATGGTTGAACAAATCTATCAGTTCTCTTTGTCCCTTCTTTCTCTTCACATGTAACTGTTTTTTTTTTTTTTTAGTTCCCTGTTAGAATTTACTCAGAGAAGATATCATGTCAGTCATTTATGCCATAGAATGTATTTAAATAATTGCCTTATCTCTCTTAGTTATATTTGTACTCTAAATCTTAGAAAGGCCTGATCACCTACAAGAGACTCAGACATCAGCTGTAAAATTAGGGAGCTATCTCAGGGTAACATTAAAACCACCCTGACTCCCTCACTCCACTAACTCCAACTGCCAGCAAGGTAAGCCCTGCTGATTTGTCTAGAACTACCATAAAGATTAAGCTCTTGGCTGCTAACTGAAAGGTTGGTGGTTCAAATCCACCTGGCAGCTCTGTGAGAGAAAGACCTAGCATTCTGTTCCTATAAAGATTACAGCATAGAAAATGCTATAGGGCAGTTCTCTTCTGTTGAATGGGGTAGCTATGAGTCAAAAACCCCTCAATGGCACCTTACAACATCAACAAGCTCCAAAGGAAATTTCTCAGCTAACTCAACAGGCTATTATTGTTGATGTCAAGGACCCAGGTGAGGAGTACTTTGAAGCTCCTGATAGCCAAACAGTATCTGGAACAAAAGGAGGCAATATAATGTCTAGTAAGCTAATGATAATAATATAGTTATGGACAATGACTGAATGCCAAGCACTCTATTGACCATTTTCATTAAAGCCATGTCAGGGTCTATAGAAAAGGCATTATCTGATGATGTTTATTAAGAGGCTATGTGATTTCTGCTTTTAAAAAGCATCTGGCTTGTGGACATGTAAGTCCATCCTGTCTGTGGGGAGGAGTACTCAAGATATTGAGTTCTGGAAGTGACATTTCTTCCCCTAACTTGGCTCAGATTTGTAACTTTGGGGAAGGGGAGGATAAGTGGAGACAGGTGGGGCTTGCGGTGGAGCTTAAAGAAAGTCAGGGATGTTTTGGCCTTCTAGGCTCCACCTTATCAGGTGAAGGCAATTGCAGTCCGTAATTATTCTCTTCTTCTCATTCTCACCTTCTAAGGAGAGCTGAGCCAGAGAACTCTATTTAAAGAAGTTCTGAAGGGTCATATTTTTACTCTTTGCTATTTTCAGAAGCTGAGATCCTTTAACAGGGTGATTTTTGTTTCCTTACTAGGTGCTGAGCAATAGGTGTAAGACCATATTTATAGTGTTGCAGAGTTCATAATGTTTCTATTTAGAAAGGGTAATGATTTTTTTTAATATCTAGTTCCAACAATGTCTCAATTTGTCTTTTGTGGGCAACAAGAGAGAAACTGAGGTAAATAGAAGTGAAATGACTCACCCAGAATCATGCCCAGCACCAAATATAGAGAGAGACAGGCAGGGGCCAGATACATTTTATTCTCATTTCTTGTCTTGTGCAAAAGCATATCCAAATTGTGCCAGGGGGTCATTTTTCATGGCAGCACTTCTTTTCAAATGTGTATGTGGACATATGCTACGTCTTTGCGCCCTTATCACATTTGCATAGTACTTCCAGAACTTACAATGTGTCTTCTCTTATTTTGTCCACTTTGCTCTTCCTTAATTTTAAAGAAGCTTCAACTGAGATTGAGACAAGTCATGTGACTCGCCCAAGGTGGCGTGGTTAGTGAAGGAAGATCTAGGATTTAGACTAAGCTTCCTGACACCAAATGCTAGTTTTCCTCACTGGGCTGTGTACCCAATAGGGACTCTATTAGGATTTGGGTGAATGAATACGTGAATGAATGGGTGATGCTATCTATAGGCCTGACTCAGGACGTAAGTTCTATATACGGAATAGAAAGGAGCCCTGGTGGCACAATGGTTAAGTGCTCGGCTGCTAACCAAAAGATCAGTGGTTTGAACCCACCAGGTGCTCCACCTGAAGAAGACCTTGTGATCTGCTTCCATTAAGATTTCAGCTTAGAAGAAAGGTGAAGCTCTTATTTGGGGGGCACTGAGTTTATGCTAATAGGTGGTGGAATATTTTGGAAAAGGATAGCAATAATGGTGGCCAATCCACTGTCATCGAGTCAACTCTGACTCATAGTGACCTCCATTGGGTTTCTGAGGTGGTAAATCTTTACAGAAGTAGATTGCCCAGTCTTCCTTCCATGGAGTGGCTGGTGGGTTTGAACTGCCAACCTTCTGGTTAGCAGTCAAATGTCTCAGGCGCCACACCATCAAAGCTGCTTTAATAATGGTGGCACAGCATGAAAAATATAGTCAACATCCCTGAGCTGTAAAAGGGAAAATTGTTGTGTTGGCAAATGTCTTGTTGTGTATGTTTTCACCCAATAAAAGTGGAAAAAATTCAATGAAGTCTTAAGTTCCCACTTCAAAATCAAAAGACCAAAACCAAACTTCTGAGAAACCTAAGGAGAGAACAAAGTCCATGTACTACAAGTCTTCAAGCCTCACCCAGAAGCCAGTCACTGTTATTTCATGCATTCAGTATTTATCTGTTGGCATATTCTTAGTTACAAGTAATCCACAAACCCAACCTAACTCCAAAGAGCTTAAATAAAGGAATACATATATGAAGATTTCAGCCTAGGAAACCCTCAAGGAAGTTCTACTCTGTCCTATAGGGTTACTATGAGTTGGAATTGACTTGTCAGCACACAACAACAATATCTGCAATAGAGAAAACTTTGGCTGATCTGTTTACCAAGTGAGGTGGTAGAAAAGGTCAATATTCTTACCCCTTTAACAATGGGAGGACCTGGACTGCTGCCGCTTAAAGCTGTGACTGAAAGAAACTTGGAAGAAGACCTACATCCAGCCTGGCCCAACCCTAATTTTACTGGCCAGTATGTAAATACATTGGCTTTAGGTGCCTTGACTCATATAATCCTCACAATAACTATGAGGAGGTACAGTTATTATCCCCGTTTTACAGATGAAGCAGAAACAGAGAGCTGAGTGACCTGCTGAAAGTGAAACAAGATATATGACTACGGATGCAGCCCCAGTGACTCCCTAGGCTATTGCTACATTCTTGGCTTTTCCAGACAATGGGAAGCACCACACTACAGGCAACTACTAAACCCCACATGAACATCATTCCCCCTTCAGTATTCATCCAGGTTTGATGCATTCAATAATAGCCCAAGAATCAAGGGTGTGAAAAACAGGCTCAGGATTCTATGGCTCGTGTGGGCAAGTTGTTTCGTGTCACATAGTTCTCAATTCTCTCTCTCTCTCTCTGTGACTGTATGTATGTGTGTGTATGTGTGTCTGTCTGTCTCTCTAGAAAATTTCCAACACTTTTAACTTCTCAAATCAGGTTCTGTAATAGTTTGTGACAATGCACTGAAAAATGACACCGACAAAACCCAACTCCTCATCAGTCTCCAAGCAAGAGACAATTCTGAGCATTACACTTACATGTGGATAGTATCAGGAGCTCTGGTAGTGTAGTGCCTAAGGCATTTGATGGCTAACCAGAAGGCTGGTGATTCAAACCCACCGGTCACTCTTCGGAAGGAAGATGGGGCAATCTACTTCTGTAGTGATACTGCCTCGGAAACCCAGGGTGGGGTCGCTATGAGTCGGGTCCGACTCGACGGCACATAACAACAACAACAACATAGCTTCCCAAAATAAATTTAGTACGAGAGTGAATTTTTTTAGTAGAATTTTTATTTTATGGATACATATTTTAGGTATTAGGCTAAACACTTTTCATGCAACATCTCATTTAATTACTTTAAGTCCTGTGAGGTAGATATTATTATCCTCATTAAATAGATCAGCACTGTTCAACAGAACTTCCTGAGGTGATGGAGGTATTCTCTCTACATTGTTCAGTGCAGTCACATGTGGCTGTAGGTACCTTGACTTGAAAGTGGTTACTATATTTCAATTTAATTTAACTTTAATTTCAATAGCCACATATGGCTGGTGACTGCAGTACTGGACAAAGCAGGATTATAGATGGTAGATCGTCAGAACAGTCATCAATGTGAGTCAGGTTGAGTGATTGAAATTTCATCTGTATCTCCATTCTGTAGTGAAAGAACATTTCGTTCTCCACTGAGGAATTGGCTGTGTGTATGCTCTCTAGTAGATGCTTGGAGCTCAATGCTTGGCATTATTATGGATTCTGACCCTTAGCCAAAGGATAACCCACTAGAAATGCTTCATCTTGGAACGCAAATGAGTTCTTCAGAATAGTTGAAGTTCAACAAAGTGGAGATAAAGTCCCATGTGGTTCAGTTATAAAGACGTAGCATTAGACAGAAGATAACAGAGGTAACAGAAGACTGGAAGTTCAAACCCACCAGCCACTCCTCAGAAGGAAGACTGGACAATCTACTTCTGTAGAAATACTGCCTTGGAAACCCAAGGAGGGGTTGCTATGAGTTAGACTCAACTCAACGGCAGTGAGTTGGTTGGTTGGTAGTATCTTTCTAAAGTCCAGGGTCCAGAAGACAGCATACTGTGAAAAAAAGATATTCTTAGAGGAGAGAAGACATAGGTGTTAGTGATGGTTTTGGGTCTAACTTTGATGCAAATGATTCCAGTTTCCCCATAAATTTGTGGTAGTTGAGATAATTGCTATTTAATTATCATCATATTAAGGTATCTTAGTTTATAATTAGCTAAAATTTGTTATTTTAATTTTGATTTTTATTAATTGATAAATCAGAAAAAGTCTGTTGTTATCAAATACCTTCATAGTATTTATTTAAATGGTATAAGCTTTCCTCCTTTGGCACTTTTAAATGCTATCTTCTATTATCAGATGTGCTGATATGAAACCGTCCTTGCATTCTGCCTTTCTACAAGGGCTTCAAGCAGAGTTATTCCAGTTAGACTCCCCCTGCTGTGATTCTTACAGATCCCTATACATAGCTAATGATGTACACATAAGAATCACCTGGAATTGCAGTCAATGTCATGAAAGAAAATGTGCATGAACTGCTGTATGGAAAATGAATTTCCTCCATAAACTTTCACTGAAATCACAATTTAAAATTTTTTTAAAGTTAAAAAAAAAGGGAGAGAGAGAGAAAGAAAGAGAGAATTACCTGGGAATCTTGTTAAAATATAGATTCTGATCTATATCTAGGGTGGAAATGCAAATTCTCAGCAAGGGGTCGAATTGGAAAGAACCACTTTGAAACCCTGTTTTCCATGGCAAACCCTGCATGATGACAGTGTATTGTTGTTGTTGTTGTTATGTGCCGTCGAGTCGGCCCCGACTCATAGCGACCCCTCCTTGGGTTTCCGAGGCAGTATCACTACGGAAGTAGGATTGCCCAACCTTCCTTCCGAGGAGTGGTTGGTGGGTTTGAACCACCAGCCGTCTGGTTAGCAGGCAAGTGTCTTAGCCACTGTGCTACCAGAGCTCCTGACAGTGTATTAGTCTTATAATATATTGTTGGTTCATTTACTGGGTATTTTATTTAGAATTTGAGTATCTTTTCATAAGTGAAATTAATCTGTAATGTGTGTGTGTTCTCATTCAGATTAGACAACAAGGCTATGCCAACCTCTTCTGTTTTAAAAGAAATGAAACTACACGTGACAAGGGAATCATCTATTCCCTGAAAGTTTGAGAGAACTCAGCAAGAAATCGTATACCTGGAAGCCTTCACAAAAGTGTAGGGAAGATTTTCTTTGAGAACTTTAAAATTATACATCAAAGTTATTAGTTCCTTAGGTTATTTAACACCAAGATTCATATTTTACCACATTAATTTTTGTCAAAAATCACCAGTATTTTAAAATTGATTACCATAGAACTTTACATCATGTTGTATATTGCTAAGGCCATCTTTAGTTCTAATTTTGTTCATTTGGGCTTCATCATATTTGCCAAAGTTTGGGTCTATGTACACCTCCCACTAAATATAACATTTGTTTTATCAGTTCTACTATTTTTCAGTTTTGATTTGTTTCAAATCTACTAATTGTTTTCTTTATCATTCCCTTCCTCTGTTTTTTTTTTGGGGGGGGGGATTTTTTCTTTCTAATATCCATGAGCTAACTACTAATTCATGTTTTTCTTCTATTGTGTTTAATAATGAATACATTTGAGGCTATGAGTTTGTCTATGAGTATGGCTTGTTTAATTCTGCAAATTTTACTGAAGGAGGAAATCAATATTTATTGAACATGTACTCTATCTAAGAGTGCTAAGTATTTCACATCCTTCCTTATTTGTAAAATAGAAGGAATCATCCTGCTTTGCAAGGCTGTAGGCAAAAGATCATCCATGAATAAAGTATCTGGCTCTCACTGAGGTTCTGCAAATGGAAGAATTTGATGGCTTTATCATTTGATTCTCCCAACTATCCTCATATGATTTCCATTTTACACATGAGGAAACTTGCAGTTCAGTCAAGTAAAGGGAACTGCTCAGGGTCACCCAGGGAGAAATGTCAGAGCAGGATTCCAACCCAGATCTTTCTGAACTGACACTTAGAGCACACCTATCCTCCTCTGTTGATCACTGGGGGGCAACCAGCAGGATAACAGCAAGGAGCTGTGCCTGTGGGTCAGGAAAATGAGCCAAGTTCTGTTCATCTGTGGTCTAAAATACCCAATGGCCTCCACCTTCTCCTTTGCATTGATCTTATGTTCCCCACTCACTGAGAACAGACTTCTTTCAGACCTTTGGTTCATTTTCTGCAGCAAAAGGAGGGAGACAATTAGAGGCCATACAAGTGCCCCAAGTTGTATTAAAACGAGGAAATTGGCTCCCTCTATAACCTGCTTCCCACAGCTTATACCCCTCAGGATGTTCTTGGTTTGTGTGTGCTGGGAGAGAGCTCAAGTTCTGCCTGCCCACGGCTATGCCAGAGGGACAGGCATGGTGCCTCCTGGGGCCCCTCACCCAGAGGGCCTAACACTAGTCCTGAGAGCATCTCCCCTAGCCATCTGTCAAGGTCAGGTCTCTGTAGAGAAGGCAGTGAGAGGAGCGTTAATGAGATGATTGCCCCTCAGCTGGGCACATGTATTTATTTATTCTTTTGTCTAGTCCCCACCAGGAAACTCTGGAAGTTTATGAAGGGCTGGCAGATTTTATAATGCACACGACTCCTTACATTAATGGCTGTTGAGCAAATGAATCTGTTTCCACTTTGCAGCCCAGATCTCTGGGGACTTATTTGTCAATGTGAAAAGAAATAAGACAGGAACAATTACCAAATTATGCAAACTTCTACAACAGAAAGCCAGGAAGAGCCGCACCGAGAGGACCTGTTGAAAGGATTTGGAGGAAAGTCCTAGGGGTTTCTGATAGGGGAGAACTCTAGAGGGCTGGCTGGGGCAAGAGTCAGACCTTTGGCCTAGTGTACCCCAAAGTCACCCAGACATGTGCCTTGGGATTCCCTTTAGGAACAACTTCATGTCTTCTGAGAATTCCCTGAACTCTCCCTAAATGTCACAATACTGCAGAATCGACTAGCTTTTGCTATGGATGGCAGGTGTGATGGCAGGGCACTTAATCATAGCACTTGGAGACAAGGAGTCTGGATCTTTCTCAATCAGTCTGTAAGTTAGCCAGAGAAAGGGCAAACATCTGAGTAACACAGCATCCAGCACATGTCTGGAGTTGAACTTGGAGTCTAGAATGCCTAAGCTGGTTCCTAAGAAACAAATTTCCTAAGAAAAGCTATCGTGATTTGTTATGCCCATAAAAGTTTCCTGCAATTAAGATATTATCCAACACCACCCCCGCCACCCCCACCCACCGCCCGCTTATAACCTCTAAACAAAAAACTGGCTTGTTGGGACTGAGATGTCTAACTAGCTGATATAAGAATCCGGAATCCTTATTTATGTTATCTCTTCATGCAGTTTGCTGATATGCCCCTTTGACACCTGCCATCTCCTGATAGTAAGTGAATCTGAAGACTGAGGGGAACATTCCTAACTGAAATTTTAAGCATCTATTTAAGAATTAACCTCTACCCCTCAAAAGACAAAGTGAATGATGTCTTGGGTTCTACACTGGGGCGTGAAGGAATCAAAGGTGCTCATGGCTCTTTTATCTCTTTCCTAAGGAGATGGATTCATCAAGGGGTCCCCCTTACTTTATCCGGGAAAGTGCAAGCAGATTTGACATTCAACAGGGACAAGCAGGTAAGAATGAGATATCTTCTCTCTCACCCTGGATCAGGGCAGGCCGCCCTGAGTCACCCCACCAGAGAAATGGGGGTGCCCACCAAGATTCTGAGAGTTCTGCCCCGGCTTCTGAAGAGGCAAGGCCAGCCCGTCACTGTTGGTGTGGGTGACTGCTCACACCCAGGACTGTAGCCTGCAGGCCAGCTTTCTCCTGCCTGCTTAGCTGCTGTCGGGTGGATTCAACTCATAGCAACCCCTCCTTGGGTTTCTGAGACGGTATCTCTATGGAAGTAGATTGCCCAATCTTCCTTCCAAGGAGTGGTTGGTGGGTTTGAACCATCAGCTTCTGGTTAGCAGTTAAATGCCTTAGGCACTACACCACCAGAGCTCCCAAGGAATTACTGAAGAAAGGTAGAAAGTGGCTCTGAGCAGGAGAAAACATCAGTTGCTAGAAGATGAGAAGGAAAGGCAGGTAGGAAAAGGGTGAGAAATTTTTATTAATTTTTGCAATGGCTGTGCTAGATACTTTTCATGTACTATTTACTCCTAGCAATATGTCTATTGTTGTTGTTGCTGTTGTTAGGTGTCACAGAGTCTTTTTCAACTCATAGCGACCCCACACGACAGAGTAGAACTGCCCCATAAGGTTTTCTTGGCTATAATCTTTATGGAAGCAAATCACCAAGACTTTCTCAGAGCCACTCGGTGGGTTTGAACTGCCAACCCTTCATTTAGCAACTGAGCACTTAACCATTGCACCACCTGGCCTCCTTATCTCTATTTTACATGCACAGAAACTGAGGATTCAAGAGTTAAAACAATTACTCGGTGTCACACAATCAGTAAGTGACAGAGTTGGATCAGAAACCAGGGCTGTTTGAACCACACCCACTCTAGCCCACCACAGGGAGCAAATGAGTTGCTAAGGAGCTGAAGGATGTGGACAGGGAAAGGGAAGGATCTGCCTTAACAGGAGGCCCCTGTTAAGGTGAATGGCCAAGTGGAGAAACTTCTGAGCTAAGGGAGCCTCAGAGTGAGAGAGAGTGGAAAGTGGACATAGCAGAAGTAGATGATAACTCTTCAGAGAACAGACTCTAAGACGTCAAGTGGTAGCTTACAGATTAATCTGTACTTGGACTTCACATGGTGAGCTCACTACATCTTGGGTCAAGTTGACAGAAACCTACATGACAGGTTTTCAGTGTTAGGAAAAGGCCCCCACCAGCCAATAATCCCCTTCTTAAGGTTTCACCTAACTGGAGAAAGCCTCTCTCTGAGGGCACCATTTTAGCTTGTGAACCAAGCACAGTGTCTGGCATGAAAAGATATTCAAATAATTCATTGTGCTGAAGGAAGGAAGACTCAGGGGAAGGGGATCAGCATTATCCAAAAGGGCGCTCCAGTGACAGCCAAAGAGACACAAATGCAGCCAAAGGAGAAAACTTCTGAGTGGGATAGAGAGGTCCTGGCATGGGAAGGACCTTAACAAATGTTAACAGAGAAAAAAACCCAAATCTGTTTTCTGTAACTCAAAAAAGCACCATTGCTACCAATGGCAGCAGCAAAATTAATTGTTACTTTAGCTCTGGGCAACTAAGAGTCAGACGGAAAGTTGTCCTGCCAGTTCCTCCAAAGCCAAGCTGCTGCTCTCGTACTACCTCCCCACACCATCACCATCACCAAAACCACCACCATCACCACCACTATCACCATCACCATCACAGCACTGCCAGACAATCACCACCACCACTGTCACCACCGCTACCATAATTATCACCACTATTACTCCATTGGGAGCCCTGGTAGCAGAGTGCCTAAGGCATTTGACTGCTAACCAGGAGACTGCTAACTCCTCACAATGAAGGTTGAGCAATCTACTTCCATAGTGATACTGCCTTGGAAACCCAAGGAGGGGTCGCTATGACTCAGATCCAACTCCATGGCAGTGAGCTTGGTTTGGTTTTTGTTTACTACTCCATCACTACCACCACCACAACCATCACTACCATCACCATCACTACCACCACCATGTCTACTATCGTCTTAACCACCATCACCACTGCTCACCCTTCTTTAGCATGCTTGTAACTAGCCTCAGTGCATTCTTCCCCCAAGTCTTCTCTCTTAGAGGGAGGAAAAATCATTATTCAGAAGGAAGTATGTGGACTCTGAGATAAAGACCTTCGAATGCTTGTGGTAGGGTTTCTAAGTGTGTCGTAGAGTTTCTAAGTGTATGGCCTCTCATGATATATTCCTCACAGGAGACTGCTGGGTCCTGGCCGCACTTGGGTCCTTGACACAGAGTCCACATTGTCTCCGGAAGATATTGCCTATGAAGCAAAGCTTTTCACACCAGTATGCAGGGATTTTCCATTTCCGGGTATGTGCACCATAGATATTGATTTTCCTGAGCCCAAGGGAGGTTAATGTATGGTGTACTCACGTGTCTGGGAGCCTGAGATGGAAGTGACACTCAGGTGTTATTTACTCCGCCTACTTTCAAAAGGACTTATCATCTGACAACACACAGGAAAGGTGATAGCTAAAATGCTTTAATGTAAATAAAGAGAAATGGCAGGAACAATGAGAAAAAGGAAAAAGCAATTTATCAAGAACCCTGTAACCATTATTGAGCATTTGTCTCTATGTCTATTCCTGGACCATATCATGTTATTTTGATGATAATAGTTTTATAGCATCTTGCAACATCTGGTAGGATTATTCTTTTCTCAATATCTTGGTAATTCTCCCACATTTACTCTTCTATAAGAATTTTAAAATCATTTTGTCTAATTAAAAAATAAAAGTTACTGTGATGTGGAGTGAGCAGCATTAAATTTATATATTAATTTTGAAAAAATACATTCTAATTATTCCTTTTCAGAAACATGGTATATCTTTCCATTAATTCAGAACTAGTTTTATGTCTTTCAAATAAACTGTTACAGTTATGTTTTCTTATTGGTACTATAACCTTCTTGGTAAATTTATTCTCAAATATTTCACAATTTTGTAGCTAATTGTGATGAGATTTTTACCCCCTCACTTCTAACTAGATATTGGTGGAAGAGAGAAAAACTACTATTATATTAAACTCTAACAAGTCAACTTACCAAATTCTTTTATTAGTTCTATTTTTGTGGGGTAAAGTCTTTAGATTTTTAGTTATCTAATAATATCTTCAAATGAAGATAATTGTGTCTCTCCTTTGAATATTTATAGAGGTTGTTTTGCTTTTTTGCCTTGTTGCATTAGCTAGAACCTCCCAATTTTGAATAACAGTAGTGAAAGCAGAATTCTGCCTTCTTCTGATTTTAATAGTGCACTTTCCTGTATGATGCTCTTTGTAAACTGTTGGGTTCAATTTGCCAAAACTTTTATTAGAATTTTTGCATCTATGTATAAGTAAAATTGATTGCTAGAGATTTTTTGTTGTTATTTTTGTCATGCTTAAATTATGCAAGCTTTTAGAAATGAACTAATTGAGCTTTGCATACTTTGGTTTGTAGTAATTGGAATAATGGTAGCTAATCACTGGTTATCTGTTCTTTGAAAGTTAATCAGTTTCCATGGAGTTAATACCCACTCACAATGATCCCATATGTGTTGCAGTAGTACTGTGCTCCTATAGGGGTTTCAATGGCAGATTTTTCAGAAAGCCTTTGTTCCAAGGTGCCTCTGGGTGGATATGAACCTCCAACCTTTCTCTTAGCAGCTGAACACCTGAATTGTACCATCCAAGGACTCCCTTTGAAAGTTAGATGGTAGTTAAATCACCTAGATCTGGTTCCTTTTAAAATGTGATTTCCTTACCTTTTCTAATGTATTCAATAGTTACTGATTTGCATGGATCTTTTATGTCTTCTTCAATTACTTCTTTTTGCTGTTGTTTGTTTATTTATTTATGTTGTGCAGTTTCAGTTAAAGTTTACAGAGCAAATTAGCTTTCCATTCAACAATTTAAACACAATTTGTTTTGTAACATTAGTTACAATTCCCTCCCTATAACAGGACTCTTTGTACTTCTTCCCTGGGTTCCTCATATCTATTTTTCTTTTTTTTCCTTCCCCTTCTTGCCTTCTGAGCTTGGTTTTGAGGAAAATGTTGCTCTTTTGGTCTCATGTGGTTAATTGTTCTGTGGAGTTCATTCTTCACAAGTATTATTGCTTACTTATAGGCTTATTTGTTGTTTAGCTGAAAGATGATCCCCTGGGGTGAGTTCAGATCCCAATTTGAAGGGTATCTAAGGGCCACATTCTAGAGGGTTCCACCAGTCTTTGTCAGACTAGTAAGTCTTGGCTTTTTATGATTTTGAATTTTGTTCTACATTTTATCCCATTCTGTCCAGGGCTTTCTATAGTCCTGATGAGTGTGGTAGTGGTAGTCAGGCACCACCTACATCTTCTGGTGTCCAAGTAGTGGAGGCTATGATTCACATGGTCCATTAGTCCTTTGGACCAATGGTTTCCTTAAGTCTTTGATTTTCATCATTCTTCTTTACTCCAGGTGGGGGAGAGACCAATAGTTGCATCTTAGATGGTCATTTGATACATTTTAAGACCCTAGTCACTACCCCCCAACAGTAGGATGTAGAACATTGCCTTTGTAACCATGTTATGCCAATTGACCTAGATGTCCACCAAGACTGTGGTCTTAAGACCCCAAGCTAAGTGACTCATTCCCTCAAGGTATTTGATTATGGGTCAGAAGTTTTTACAATTTTGCCCCCTGTATGCTCTACTTTATATCTGAGTATATTTGCAGCACATACAAATACATATGTAGAAATGTCCTCTGCAAAACCTATATGTGAATGTAGTCCCGTTCACCTTCCCGTACCTGTTCAGCTTGCAGTCTGCCTACACATCCATTAATAGATTATTGTGTTTGTTATTTCAGAATTGAGTGTATAATAATATTTATTTTTGTGATCTGTAACTCGTATGCACCCTTAGTGTCTTCCTTTCTCCTAGTCATATTGTGCTGACCTCCGCTTCATTGTTTGTTGACTTTCCCTTCACCCAAATTAATACATGCCTACTCTCTAATTAGTGATTTTCTCTCCCTCCCAGTCCTGGTAGCCATCAAAGAAAGTCTTGTTCTGTTTATAAACCTTTGCTTGACGTTTTATAGCAATGGCCTCATAAAATATTTGTCCTTTTGAGATTGACTTATTTCACTCAGCGTAATGTCCTCCAGGTCTATCCACGTTATGAGGTGTTTCACGGAATTGTTGTTATTCTTTAAAGTTATGTAATATTCCATAGGGAGTATGTACCATAATTTGTTTACCCATTCATCTGTTGATGGGCATTTAGGTTGCTTCTATCTTTTTCCTGTTGTGAATAATGCTGTGATGAATAAATGTGTGCATATTCTTTTCATGCCATGGCTCTTATTTCTCGAGGATATATCCCTATTGTTGTTGTTGTTAGGTACGTTGAGTCACCTCCAATTCATAGCGACCCTATGTATAGCTGAACGAAACACTGCCTGATCCTGTGACCATTCCACAATCCCTGCTATACCTGAGCCCGTAGTTGCAGCCATTGTGTCAATCCATCTTGTTGAAGGCCTTTTGCTTTTTTGTTGACCCTCTGCTTTCCTAAGCATGATATCCTTCTCCAGGGAATAGTCCCTTCTTACAACATGACCAAAGTAGGTGAGATGTAGTTTGACCATTCTCGCTTCCAAGGAGCATTCCAGCTGCACTTCTTCCAGGAAAGATTTGTTAGTTCTTTTAGCAGTCCATGGTACTTTCAGCATTCTTCACCAACACCACAACTCAAAAGCATCGACTCTTCTTCAGTCTTCCTTATTCATTGTCCACCTCTCACATGCATATGAGGCAATTGAAAATACCATGGCTTGCGCCAGGCACTTTAGTCTTCAAGGAGATATCTTTGCTCTTCAGCATTTGAAAACGGTTCTTTGCAGCCAATTTGTCCAGTGCTATACATCGTCTGATGTCTTAACTGCTGCTTCCATTGGTATTGATGGTGGAACCAAGTAATATGAAGTCTTTGACAACCTCAATCTTTTCTCCATTAATTGTGATGCTGCTTATTGGTCCAGGTGTGAGAATTTTTGTTTTCTTTATATTGAGATATAATCCATACTGCAGACTGTATTCTTCAATCTTCATCAGTAAGGGCTTCAAGTCATCCTCACTTTCAGCAAGCAAATTTGTGTCCAATCCTGATGCCATGTTCTTCTTCATACAGTCTAGCTTCTCAGATTATTTGCTTAGCATAGAGATTGAATGAGTATGGTGAAATTATACAACCCTGACACACTCTTTTTTTATTTTAAATCATGCAGTGTCCCCTTATTCTGTTTGAACAACAACCTCCTCCTCTATGTACAGGTTTCTCATGAGTACATTTAAGTGTTCTGGAATTCCCATTCTTCTGAATGTTATCCACAATTTGTTATGATCCACACAACTGAATGCTCTCCATAATCAATAAAACACAAGTAAACATCTTTCTGGTATTCTTTGTTTTGAGCCAAAAGCCATCTGACATCAACAATGATATCCCTCATTCCATGTCCGCTTCTGAATCCAGATTGCATTTCTGGAAGTTCTCTGTAAATACACTGCTGCAACCATTTTTGGACTATCTTCAGAAGATTTTAACTACATGCAATATAAATGATATTGTTCGATAATTTCTGCTTTCTGTGGGATCACCTTTTTTGCAATGGGTACAAATATGGATCTCTTCCAGTCAGTTGGCCAGGTAGCTGTCTTCCAAATCTCTCAGCATAGCTGAATGAGTGTCTCCAGTGCAGCATCTGTTTTTTGAAACATCTCAATGGGTATTCCGTCAATTTCTGGAGCCTTGTTTTTCTCCACTTCCCTCAGTGCAGCCTCAACTTCTTCTTTCAGTGTCATTGGTTCTTGATCATATGCTACCTGCTGAAATGGATGAACATCAACCAATTCTTTTTGGCACAGTGTTTCTGTGTATTCCTTCCATCTTCTTTTGATGCTTCCTGCATCTTTCAATATTTTGCCCATTGAATCTTTCAATATTGCAACCCAATACTTAATTTTTTTCCTCAGTTCTTTCAGCTTGAGAAATGCCTAGCATGTTCTTCCCTTTTGGTTTCCTAACTGCAAGTCTTTGCAAATTTCATTATAGTCATTGACTTTGTCTGCTCAAGCTGCTCTTTGAAATCTTCTGTTCAGCTCTTTTATCTTGTCATTTCTTCCATTTGCTTTAGATACTCTTCCTTGAAGGGCAAGTTTTAGAGTCATTTCTGACATCCATTTTGGTCTTTTCTTCCTTTATCATCTTTTTAATGACCTCTTGCTTTCTTCATGGATGATGTTCTTGATGTCATTCCACAATTCCTCTGGTTTTCGGTCACTGG